AGAAGGACTTGGCAAACCACTCCCTTGTCTTGCCAAGAAAACTCCAAATGGGCTCACAAAGAATCAGATATAATTGAAACAATTGAACAACATTTGTAGAAAGCTTACTATGTGCCAGGCCCTGTGCTAAGCAACCCTGCAAGGTAGGTGCTATTATTATTCCCATTTCACAGATGAGGAAACTGGAGCAAACAGAGCTTAGGGACTTGCCCAAGGTCATAGAGCTAGTAAGTTTCTGAATCTGGATTTAAACTCAGGTCTTCCTGACTCTAGGCCCAGTGTTCACCTAGCTGACTCAATCTGGTGCTACCCTACCTTTACAGCCTTACCTCATGTTATTCCCTTCCCCAAACAATTACACTCTTCTTTATTTTTGTAATCTCTTCCCACCTTCTCTTCACCCATTGAATTCCTTCTCATTCTCTAAAACCCAATTCAAATGCCATTCCCCTTAGAAATCTTTACTTGATTCCCCAGCTCAATAATGATCTTCTTCTTGAGACCCCATAGAGAACTTGGTTTCAGACTCTGTAATGTACTCAGCATGTAGTACTGTGGACCTTAACTGTCTGTGCTGGTTTCTCATCTTGGATTAGAGTTTTAGCTCCTTCACAGCAGGGACTGTCTATACTCTAAAGATTCTCTCTCCTCCCTCACCCAGCTCTCCAGTGCTTTGGCCACAGTAGGTGGGTCATAAATGTTTGTTATCCCATGCAAATAAGCTGACAGGGTGCCCTTTGTATTGACTTTCTCTGTCATGCTCTGCAGTGACCTCAGATTGAGAGAATGCCCAAGGAGAGTCTCATGTCTGTGTTTCTAGTTGCCCGTCTGGGGCTGTGGAAGCAAGCAGGTGGAGTATCATGAGCTTGGGGATTGGCCAGTGATCAAGAGAGAATCTTCAGAGTCAAGTGCCCGCTGAGGGTCTGATGCTAATGGCCGCATGAGTCCTTCCTTTTCCTTTGAGGAGAAGAAGGCTGCGGTAGAGGTCTCGGCCTCTGGACACGGCCACAGCAGAAGCCAGAGCTTAGAATGGAGTCATTCCAAGGACCCCTAGCCAGTCTTCTGTCTTGAATCCAGATCTTTCTTCAGCAAGTCCCACGGAGAAGAGAAAGTTTCCCCATGGGAAGTTGGATGAAGGTCCGGTCAATTTAGTAGATCTTTATACATGTCTAATACTTTCTGAGGCCCCTATGGAGAACGAAGAAGATCTAGTCCTCTTTCTCCAGGAGTTTCATAATCTGATTAGGAAGACAAGTTATTTACATATATGATTATTTTGTTGTGGTGTATAGACTGTAAATGTTCTTGTCTTTCAGAAAAAATTAAGAACTGGAGTAGTTTGGGAAGGCTTCCAGAAGGAGGATGGGACTTGAGGTAGGCCTTAATGGATAGGTAGGATTTGGACAGTCAGAGGGAAGGGAGGTAAGATGGGTAACTACATGAGCAAAAAAAGGTATATAGGTAGAAATGAGCAGGACTTTTTGAGGGGGACCAGAACGGGAGTGGCCTGGTAGGAACATAATAATGGGAGGAAAAGTTGGCAACATCCAGCGTTGTAGTATTTCTTCCTTTGCGACCATCTGTGTCAAGGGATGGATATAGAAAAGCTTTCATGGCAAGAACTGTGGGTGAGAGTGTTTCCCACTTACCCATGTACCTCCCATAGTTGCTAGCCCCTTTTCTTCGTCTGGCTTTACCCAAATAGTTGGACCAGCTACTGCTCCTAGCGCCATCTTTAATCAATTGAGTATATACTTAGGATACTGATAGTCTGGAAAGTGCCCAGAGAGGACAAGTGGAACGGTCAAAGGCCTTGAGTATATGTCATGTGGATCAGTTGAAGGAACTGGGTACCTTTAGCCTGGCGAAGCCTCAAGGGAAATAGGATAGCCATGGTTAGTTACTCTAAACACTGTCATATGGAGTAAGAATTAGTCTTGTCCTTTTTGGCCTAAGAAGACAGAACCAGTAGAAAGGGTTGGAAATTACAAGGAGGAAACTTTAGGAAAATTTCCTAACAAATAGAGTTGCAGAAGGGGTTGTCTTAGGAGATGGTGGGTTTCCTCTCTTGGAGGTCTTACCAGGTACTAGGTATGTTATACTGGGGCTTCCTTTAATGTCTGTGTTGGACCAAATAACCGCTGGGGTCCCTTCCAACGCTTATATTCTGTGACTCTGAATCTACTCTTGCCCAGGACTGTGCACCTCATTGGAGATGCAAAGATGTCAAGACACAGTTTCTGCCTTTAATGAGCATAACAAAATGATAGATAACATCAATTTCTGTAAATATATGTGTGTTTGTGTATACACACATATATTATAGTACTTTATGGTTTAGAAAGCACTTTCTGTAGAAACATGGATGGAAAGCTAGCTCTGGGTTTCATAATGATACCGATATAATAGCCCATTAAAATTTGCAAAGCACTTTTACTAGCTGTGTGATAATTGGTAAGTCACTTAATGTCTCTGAGCCTCAGTTTTCCTCATCTATAAAATGGAGATAATAGTATCTATATTTACAAGGTTGTTATGAAATTCAGAGATGTCCACAAAGGACTTAGCAAACGTTAAAGCGCTCTATAAATGTCAGTGGTATTGTGATTTGTACCCCACCCCCAAAATATGGTCTGTGTCATAGGTAGGGCCAATATTCTTATTCCCATTTTACTGATAAGGAAACTGAGGACCAGCCCAGAGAAATGATTAATGATAGGATTTTAGGATTTAGAGCTGGCAGGTACCTTAAAGATCATCTAGTCCAGCCCCAACTTATTTTACAGGTGAGGAAAACTAGTCCCAAGGTCACACAGGTGTTAAATATGTAATAGAACCAGGATTTAAACCTAGGTCTTCTGACTCCTAGGTCCTCTGCTTTCCCCCTGTGCCATAGCTGCTCCCTTATATGATTGGTGAGATAAGACTAGCTTTTATGAAGCAATTAAAAAGCCAGGCGAGACAACATATGATTAAGTGCTAAGTGGTGTGGTATTGACGCTAAGTGCAATTGTGATTCCGGGAAGGGAGATATTGATGTGGGATCATATGGTTAGGCTTCATTGAGGAGCTGGGAGTTGGTTTGACCCTTGAAGATTTATGAAGCATATGAACAATCAGTAAAGGAGACATTTTGGACCCTGTCTTCTTTGGATTCAGGCTGATAGGAACCCTTTATTTCCCTTCCTTCTCAGTCCTGGTTAAACCACAGTGAGTGGTACAGGAAAAAATGATGATCAGTTCTCTCCTCCCCAAATTCGAGTAGTTCGTAGAATCCCAGAATCTCAGGGCTAAAAGACAGCACAGAGGTCACATCCTTTTATTAAGGAGATTTGTTCTATGAAGTTTGGATTCAGTGACCCTGGGCAAGTCACTTAACCCCAGTTGCCTCACCCCAAAATAAAAAAAGTCTCTGGTTGAAGTTTGGATTCAGTCAGAGGGCCACACTTGAGGACCTAGAGGGCCACACGTGGCCTGGAGGCTTCGGGTTCCCCACCCCTGGTGGAGTATTCCTAATTCTTACCTGAATGAGAGTCCTCTCTTATAGACTACCCCGACTTTGCTTGAACACCTCCAGTGACAAGTTACTCACCATCTACCACTTTGGGATAGTTGTGAGTGTTAGATGTTTGCAACATCCCTAAATCTCCCTCTAAATAACTCGTTGCTCCCAGTTCTGCCCTCTGGAGCCACAAAGAACAAATCAAATGTCTCTTGTGCCCCTCAGATACTTAAAGAATACCCTCCTCTTCCACCCTCAAGTGGTCTCTTTTCTAAGCTAAAAATCTTCTTCCACCAGCCCTCAGGTAGAACGCCCTGGAGACCCTTCTCCGTCCTGGGTTGCCTTCCTTCACATGCTGTCTGGCTTCCCAGTGACTTTCCTGAAATGCAGTCTCCAGAATTGAGTACTACAGCTTATGTGTGGTCCGATCTGGGCAGGCAGTGCAGGGGGAGCGCTGCCTCCTCTGCCTGGAGTCTAATATCGGATTAGTTTTATTGGTTGCTATGTCACCCTGTTAGCTCCTGTGGAGCCTCTAGGCCTCTGACAAAGCCAGGTCTTTTTCAGAGCTCTACTGTCTAGCCACACCTCCCCCATGCTATGCTTGTGAAGTTGATTTCTGAACTTCCTTCCTTGTCTGAGTGGCCTCTGTGGGTACTGCTTGATGTCCCATTGGGTTATTCCCTTTCTTGGCACTAAGTAGCGATCTGGGAAATAGGAAGCAAAGTGGGGAGGGGTTCTTGGCAGTGAGGGGTGCTGAGGGTATTGAGGTTAGTAAGAGGAGAGAGGTAACAGCCAGGATGTCTGAGAGTGAGGGTGCTGTAGAGATGCAGCAGGAGGGCACCGGCTTCAGGAGCTGGTGAGAGAGGTGTAGTAACAGGATCCTAGGTGGGCAGTAGGTTAAGAAACTACTGGGAGAATGGGGGCAGGCACCTCAAGGGAAGTAAGATGTTGAGGCCAGGAAGCAGGACCTATACTCCTACAGTCATTTCCTCTCCAGCCAGAGAACAATGGCTCAAAACAAGTGTAATATCCCCACCCCCTACTACCATCCTTTCCCACCCCTCCCCCAGAGCACACTTTCTCTTGGATTGAGCCAGTGGAAAGGTTGAATCGATGAAGCCTCTGGCTGTCCTCTGCTGGAGGCTCTGGACCTTCCTTCCCTTCCCCTGGAGCCAGTCCTAGACTCACCTAGACCCTGAGAGAACTCTGGCTAGGAGTATCCGGTGCAGTGACAGCCTGCCTCCACCTTCCCTTTCCCATCCCATTCCCATGGTTTTGCAGATTCCCTACAGAGGAGGCTTTACAGATGCCCCCCCCTTTTTTCTCCTCCCCCAAAAGGGACGTGGAGCTGCTGGCTTTGCTGGTATGTGCTTTCTGCCTCCTGCCTGGCTGAGCTCCATTGAACTCTGAACTCTGGGGCTGCTGGGGCAGAGTCGATTGACATGCACTTTATTCTCTCTCCTCCCCTCCTTGTCCCCCCCCCTTCTCACTCCCCCAGTCCTCTGTGAGTGATCCTGTCCCCAAGATCCAGCTGCATGGAACGGCTACAGAAGGTAGGAAGCAAGCTGAGGACTCCATCATGCCCTGTCCCCACTCCCAGGGAAGGGGAGAGGCAAGTGAGGGAGGGAGCATACTGGTGGGAGAGGATCAGGACCAGGGTTTCGCCAGCCTACCTGCCTCACCAGTTTGACAATCATGCCACCTGGTGGCTGTTCATGCCATAGTGGCCCAATTCCAACACTACTGCCTACATTTTTTTAGAGAATAGATTGGGGGTGGGGGGGAGTGTTTTTAGTAGAAGGTAACCCTCTCTGTTCCCGGTTCCCACACCTACACTTCCCCTCATCCAAGCCCTTTCCCCAGACCTCTGTTCACCCATGTCTCCCACTTCCCAGCAACCGCTCACCTCCCCCGGGAGCGTGAGCTCCTCCCGAGATTCCAGTGTGCCTGGCTCTCCCTCCAGCATTGTGGTGAGTACCCAGCCCCCAGCCCTGGTCCTCAGCCCCCGCTAGGCGTGTGTCGGGGGTGGGGTTGGTTGAGGGGGTGAGAGGTAGGTTAGGTGCCCAGCTGAGGTCTGAGCCTCTCTGGGAAGCTGAAGCACAATGGGTGTGGGCTACGTCTGCCTTGGGGTGAGGGGACCCAGGTACCCTGGGTAACGAGTCTGGTCCTGTCTTGTCTCTCTCTTCAGGCCAAGATGGATAATCAGGTGCTGGGCTACAAGGACCTGGCGGCCATCCCCAAGGACAAGGCCATCCTGGACATTGAACGACCAGACTTGATGATCTATGAACCACACTTCACATACTCCCTCCTGGACCACGTGGAGCTGCCTCGAAGCAGAGAGGTAGGGTGTGTGTGTGTGTGTGTGTGTGTGTGTGTGTGTGTGTGTGTGTGTGTGTGTGTGTAAGTGCTCTTTTGGGGGAAAGAAAAAAAAAGTAATAGCCTTCCTATAGAGCTTTCAGTCTTGTAAAGCATTTTGCATCTATCTCATTAGATCCTATAAAACCTGAGGTACATATTATTTTTTTGTCCCCATTTTACAGATGAGGAAACTGAGGCTGAAAGGTTACATGATTTACCAAGAGTCATTAGTGTTTGAAGCCACATTTGAACTCATTTCTTCCAACTCCAAATCTAGTATTCTATCCACTTTGCCACCTAACTTAGCTGCCTCTAAAAGAAAAAAGTGATTTTAGGAGAAACTCTCATTGTAGTTTGTGTCTAGGCAGGAGAGAGATTTAAGATGATGAGAAATGGGAAATGTGCCCAGGAAACTTGCATGGGGAAGACAAGCTAGATTGGGAATCAGAGGACCCTCACCTCTGCCCCTTATTACTTGGCCTACCTTGGGCAAAATACTTTCCTGCCCTTTGGGCCTTACCTGGGAAATGAAAGGGTTGAATTGGATGCCCCTCTGCAGTTACTGCTGACTATGGATCTGTGACCCTGTATGATGATTAGTACTAATTGAGTGCTTAGTAACAGTAGTTTAATGTTGTTATGAGTCAAAATGACACATTTTGAATTTATGTTGTACTTCTGTTCATTACCTGTTGTTCAGAATATAGGAGCAAACAGAATGCTGGGGCTGGAAGGGGTCTCAGGTCATTTAGTCCAACCCCCTCCACTTTACAGAGGAAGCTGAGGCCCAGAGAAGGAAGTGACTTGTCCACAGCTGTAGAACAAGTTATTTAGAAGAGCTAGGACCAGAACCCAAGCACAGTGCAGTCAGGAAGACCAGAGTTCAAATCTGGCCTCGGACACTTACTAGCTGTGTGACTCTGGGCAGATCATGTAACCTCTGTTTGCATAAATTTCCTCATCTGTAAAATGGGTATGAGAATAGCACCTACCTCCCAAGATTGATATGAGGACCAATGAGATAGTAATTGTGAAGTGCTAAGCACAGTGCCTGACACTTATATAAGTGCTATATAAATGCTACCTGTTATTAGTTCTCTGCTATTACGTCATGCTCAAGACAGTATCATCCAGAGCTCTAAACAAGTAAGTAAGGTGCAGAAGTTCCTGAGAGTGGGAGTGTTTGCCTGTAAACCCTTTCCCTGAGATAATGTTTGTAAAGCACTTAGCATGATGCCTGGCACTTAGTAGGTGATGGACAAACACTTGTTTCTTTCCTGTCTTCCACTCGATTGTCACGTTGACCCTATGAGGTAGGCTGGGGAGTTATTCTTGTGTGTTTGGTCATTTTCAGTCACGTCTGACTCTTCGTGACCCCATTTGGGGTTTTCTTGGCAAAGATACTGGGGTGGTTTGCCGTTTCCTTCTCCAGCTCATTTTACAGATGAGGGAACTGAGGCAAACAGGGTTAAGTGACTTGCCCAAGGTCACAAAGTGGCCAGATTTGAACTCAGGAAGATGAGTCTTCCAGTCTCCAGGCTCTGCACTCTATCTACTCTGCCACCTAGCTACCCACAGTTATCATTACCACTCATCAAATACAGAAACTGAGGTACAGGGAAGGTTATCGGTCAAACTGCTAGTGACTTGTCAGAATTAGGACTAGAACTCAGTTTTCTCTGGGCTAGGTGCCTTGGGGAAGACAGGAGTCCCTGCCTTCAGGAAGTGCTGGGGAGGCAAGACACAGATAACTGGAAAGATAACCACTGTTGGGGCAGCTAGGTGGCGCAGTGAATAGAGCACTAGCCCCAAAGTCAGGAGGACCTGAGTTCAAATGTGGCCTCAGACCAGACACTTGACACTTACTAGCGGGTGTGACCCTGGGCAAGTCACTTAACCCCAGTTGCCTAATTAAAAAAAAAAAGATAACCATTATTGTTTAAAAAAAGACACCCTAGCTCGGCCAGGTTGACTGGAGCTTTGTCCCAGGGCTCCAAATTTAGAAGGAACTGACAGCACTTTGAGAATCCTTCAGCAGCATAGAAACAACAGCATTTGCCACTTAGCAAGAAAATGGAGTTAAAATAGGAAGCTACCAGATGGCAGCTGGCTCGAGTTTCTTCCCACCCCACCTCTGCCTTGGTTTGCATTGTGACAGGGTGTTGGGGTCTCTGTCTCTCTACCATATGGTGGCATCTACCTTCCCCTCCTCAACAAAGGTTGTACTTCTGTTTTATTTGTCTGGGTGAAGCAGTTGGGGTTAAGTGACTTGCCTAGGGTCACACAGCTAGTAAGTGTCAAGTGTCTGGTTTGAGGCAGGATTTGAACTCAGGTCCTCCTGACTCCAGGGCTGGTACTCTATCCACTGCACCACCTAGCCTCCCTGGTTTGTGCTTCTTGTTGCTTGTCCCTGATGCCTGTCTGCCGTAACCAAAAAATAAACATTTATTAAGTGCCTACTGTGTGCCTAGCAGTGTGCTAAGCCAGAAAGAGATCACAAATATCTCAGGCGAGCTTTCTTATCTATGCTAAAAGTCATTGCAGCATCTGTACATGTAAATTCACATGTAAATATCCCCAGCTAATAAGCACAGTGCTTTATATGCAGCACTCACTTAGTAAATTAATAAATTAATCTCCATTAATTAATTAGTTGACTGATTAGTTAATTCATATGAGGGTAATTTGAAGAACTTGAATAGGTTTAACCTGAAGAAAAGATGGCATAGAGGTAGCCATGATACACTAGATGTCTTCAAGTAAATTGAAGTATCTTCCACCCACTTGTGGAAGAGGGGTGAGATTTGTTTTCTTGGCCCCAAAGGACAGAATGAAGAGAAACTCATGGCAAAGAGGCAGGTTTTAGGTTTGGTGCAAAGAAAGATGTAATCATTAAAGCTATCCCAAAGTAGAGTGGGCTGCCATGAATGAAAATGAGGAAAGAACTTGACTCTTCATGTTGGCATGGAGGGGTGAGGGTGGAGGGCGATTGTTTTTCCTTTTCAATTTGGAGTGGGGGATGGGAAGGAGAAAAGCAGATTTTTGCTGGCTGAAAGAAAAGAAAATTTAATTAAAAAAGAAAATGATTGAAAAAGCCTTTATTAAGGAAATACTATATGCCAAGCACTCTGATAAGACCTGGGGATACAGGGAGAAAAGTGAGACAATCCCTCTACTCAAGGGACTCACACTCTGATTGAGGGAGGTAGGGCGTTCAGAAGGGTTCATTTAAAGGGCTGATAAGGGAGATAATGGGTCCCTGTCCTCTCACTAGAGGTCTTCAAGGGAAAGCTAGATGACCATTAGCCAGGGAAGTTCTACAAGGGATAACTGTCCTGGTAGAGATTAGACTAGGTGCCCTCTGAAGTTCCTTTTGACTCCTTATGTCTCTGAGTTAAGGGATGAATGCCTGCTTGATAGACAGATGGGCGTGAAGATGGATGTAGTGGTATATGATAGGAAGATGCAGCTAGGTTGCACAATGGGTAGGGTGCTGGACCTGGAGTCAGGAAGACCTGAGTTCAAATCTTGCCTCAGATACTTACTAGTGATGTGACTCTGGGCAAAAGTCACTTAGCCTTTGTCTGCCTTAGTTTTTTCATCTGTAAAATGAGGATAATAATAGCACCTACCTCCCATGGTGGTTGTTAGGATCAAATGAGATGTTTTTAAAGTGCTTTCTAAATCTTAAAGTGCTATATAAATGCTAGCTATTGTAATTATTATTAAAATGGCCATAGAGGAGATTATGTGGAAGGTAAGCCATGGGGATCTGAGGATGAGGAAATAGGTACAAAAGTTTGTCTAAGGCAGAGGTTCTTTAACTTCTTGGCGTTCTGAGAAGCCTATGCACTCCTCAGAATGATGTTCTTAAATAATTGAAAGAAATGATATATTTCAGTTAGAGGTAATTGAAAACAAAGATATATTTTCTTTCCCATCCAAGTTCAGGGACCCCATGAAATTTATCCCTGGACCCACGGCTAAGAACCCCTGGTCTAAGAAGACAAGGAATGGGTACAATACTTGAAGGAATGGAGATGGGAATTTTGGTAATCCCGGAAGAATGAATGTCAATGTCACCTCTTGAACCAATAATCAATAAACGCTTATAAGTGCCAGGCATCTCTAACCTATCTCCTCATACCTTCACAGCGCTCGTTGTCACCCAGATCCACATCTCCACCACCATCCCCAGAGGTAAGTCTGTTGTCCCTCCCACCTGGACCACATGCTCAGCCCTTTCCATATCCTACCTAAACTCCACCATGTGAAGATATTAGTTACCTGTTGGCACCTCATTCCCATTCTATATAGTCCATTAGATGGGAGAATCATGGGACTTTATATGGGGACACAAGTTAGAGCTTATAGTACCACTGGCCAGTTCTGTCTGTATAATCCAAGGAATACATTCATTGCCTGGGCCAGTAGCTACCCTGGTCAGTCTCTCCTGAGATCTCTCCATTGTCATGGCCTTATACTGAGCTGAGAGAGTAGAGTTGGGTTACCAGGGTAGGGGAACCTGGGAGCTGTGGAAGGGTGGAGTTAAAGTGGAAGAAGCCACAAACAGATCCACATTGAGCTATTCTTCTCTTGCCCAGGTGGTATGGCCAGAAAGCAGGTCACCAGGGACCATGTCTCAGACCCCTGCGCCCAGGACTAGTGGGACCCCCCGGAGCAGCCTGCCTCATTTCCATCGACCTGGTAGGTTTCGCTATCGTCATCAATGCTTTCTTTTTTCCAGACCTGACTTTTCCTGACTAGGCACCAAAAGCACAGTCCCCTCCTTGGCTAACAAGATGAGGGAACTGGGTAGGCCAGCCTCTATGGAGTAGACTGGGAAAACTCCCGTAATGCTAAGCTCACTAGGTGGTAGTTCCTGAGACTGGTAAGCCAATGTTTTACCTCTCCCACTCAGAAAATGCCTGAAGTGCAGGTTAACACTATCACTTCTCCCCAAGCCAGTTTCTGACTCTCTCCATTGAAGTTGTCCCATTTGTGTCTTGGACCGTACAGCAAGACCTGAGGAATTCCTTGCCCAGACACTAACTTTTCCCCTTCCATTTGGCTTTCCTCTTCTCTCACCTGGTCACCTCAGCCCTTCTTCCTTCCACTTGCCCTTATTTTCATTCCGTATTGCTTCTTTTTCACAGAGACCGCTCGTGCAGAATTTAACATTTATAAGAAACCTCCCATCTACAAGCAGAGAGGTAGGATTTCCTCCAAATCCCCTTCCTCCATTTATATTAGGCTTGTAAGGGCGTGAACATTAGGGGGTGGTGGGATGGTAGAGCAGTTAGGACAAAGGATGGGGTGAAGGGAGCTTGGGCAGAGGGTAAGGTGGTTAGTAGATAGGAAAAGGAAAGAGTTTGGCTGTGTGTTAATTGTCTACGTTGCTCCTGGCTTTACAGAATCTGTGGGAACAAGTCCCCAGAGCAAGCACCCCATTGAGGACCTCATCATTGAGTCATCCAAGTTCCCAGCAGCCCAGCCCCCAGACCCCAACCAGCCAGCTAAGATCGAAACTGACTACTGGCCATGTCCACCATCTCTGGCTGTTGTGGGTATGAGGGGTAGGGGCAGGGAAACTTCAAGGACCTCACTCACAAATTCCTTCTTGTTCCTACTTTTAAAAAAGTTATGTTTAAGTTTTATTCATGCCTTTTGTTTTTATACCACTTCTAGGTGTATTATCCCTAACCATTCTACTAGCCAACTGAACCCTCATTTGTAAAATTACTGAAACCTGGACCACATCTGACATTGTATATAATATCCCACACTTATAGGTTCCCTCCCCCCATTCCCCGACTCTGTAAGGAAGATCTTGTTCTCCAAGATCTTGGGCCTCTGTAGTCCTCTTACCACCAACCCAATGCTTCCTACCTTCTTCTCTTTAATAGTAATTTCTTTTTCCAGTTATATATAAAGACAAATTTTAATATTAATTTTTTTTAAAAATTTGAGTTCCAAATTTTTCCCCTCCTTCTCTTACCTCCCTCCCTTCTAAGACAGTAAGTAATTTGATATGGGTCACGTATGTGCAGTCACGTAAAACATATTTCCATATTAGTCATGTTGTGAAAGAAGAAGCAGACCAAAAGAAAAAAAATCACCAAAAAAAAAATAAAGTGAAAATAGCATGCTTCGATCTGCATTCAGACTCTGGAGGTGGATAGCATTTTTCATCGTGAGTCCTTTGGAATTGTCTCAGGTCATTGTTTTGCTGAGAAGAGCCAAGTCATTCGCTGTTGGTCATCATAAAATGTTGCCGTTACTGTGTACAATGTTCTCCTGCCCACCTGTTTTTAAGACCTGTTCTGGCTGCCGCAACCCCTAGTGATCTGTCCCTTTCTCTGAGCTGTCATAGACTGTGCCATTCCTTTGACTTTTACCATATATTGCTTTGTGTTCTTAAGTTAGGTATCTTGTTGCCCCAAATAGACTATGAGCTCTCTGAGGGCAGGGACTAGGTCTTATATCTTTTTGCCATCTCCCATAGTGCTTAGCACAATATGTAGCATACGGTAGGCGCTCCAGAAAACTTGGTGGAATGACTAACTGATGCACCTGACTCCAGTATTTTCTTTTTTCAAATAATTAATTGATTGATTGATTGATTCCATTTAAAAGTTTTCTTTCACTATATATTTCTCCTCTCTCCTCTACTCTGACCCTTCCTTCTAACAAAGAAAGAACAATTAAAGCAATAGCCAACATTCTGCTCTATTTTCCAGAGACAGAATGGAGGAAGCGGAAGGCATCTAGGAGAGGAGCAGAAGAGGAGGAGGAGGAGGAGGAAGACGATGACTCAGGGGAAGACATCAAGGCTCTAAGAGAGAGGCAGAGAGAGGAACTCAGTAAGGTAGCATCCCACTTGTTCCTGGGCCTCACGTCCACATTTTCCCCTAAACCCTATGGCAGCTGCCATCTGGTCCATCCTGGAAAACTGGCCCAGTTAGAACGTGTGAGGAAGGCTCTTTCCTGCCAAATGTTACATAATGTTCTTGAGGGCAAGGAATGCCCTAAAAATACTGCCTGCACTCGGTACATTTTTTTTCTCCAGAAAAGGAGCTTGGGGAAAAAAAAGATGCTTGAGCAGAAGCATAGACAAAGTGGGACTCTCAGGGCCAGGGCAACAACTGCCTGACTGTTTGAAGGGATGAAGGATTGGGCAGAGAGAGGACACAATCAATATCCAGGTTGGGGTTAGAAGGGGTAGAAGACACAGAAACAACAAGGCTGAAGTGAAGAGGACGGAGCATATAGGAGAAAACTGGGACAAAGGCATAGAGGTGGGAGATGGGCACAAAGAACTATGCTTCTCTGATCCGTGGTCGAGGGGAAGAACAGAAAAGATGGCAAAGAAATGAGGTCCTTCTATTAACCACAGCAGAGTCTATGCTCTGTTCTTGCAGAGGTCAAAGCTACAATGTAGGAGATCATGGGACAAAAATAAGAAAGTATATAGGGTTCAGGGGCACCCACAAGAATTTCGTCTCTATGCTCAGCATGGCACCTACTGGACCTCCATATCTATTCCTTCTAGATATGGGACAGAGGAATCCCAGGCATCAGGATCCACTCACAGTTTTCCTCTTCCAGGTCACCTCCAACTTGGGGAAGATGATCCTGAAGGAGGAGATGGAAAAGTCCTTACCCATTCGTAGGAAAACCCGCTCCCTGCCTGACCGAACACCCTTCCATACTTGTAAGTTTTATTGAGGGAATCCTGGATTCCAAGTCTCCCACTCCACCCAAGGGACCAGAATCAACAGACCTTATGACAGCGTACTTATGACAGTACTTGTACGAAGGGGTGGTCTTTTGTACTTCAGCAATAGGACTCAGTACTATTGAGTACTTAAGACATATGCCTAGCACATTTAGCTGCAGTTGAACATACAAGAAGAATCCCTGTTCTTCAGAAAGTCACTCTTACTTGGGGGAGGGAGGCAAGACTGACAAGAAAAACAATATTGGACAATAAAAGATATTACAGAACTAAAGGCTAGCTTGTGTACCATATGGTACCATTGTTTACTACAGCATTACAGAGGAAATGGATATGAATGAGAGCTGGAGTGACCAGGGAACCAATCGATAAACAATACAAAATAGCTAGAATTTATGTAGCCTTTAAGGTCTGCAAAGTACTTAACCTAAAAAGGAGGTACCCATTTTACAGATGAGGAAACTAAGGCAAAGGGGTTAAGTGACTTGCCCAGGGTGAAACAGCTAGTTAAATGTCTGAGGAAGAATTTGAATTCAGATCTTCCTCATGTCAAGTCCAATGCTCTATGCTGCCTGAATCAACAAACATGAATGAATGAATGAATGAATGAATAAATGAATGAATGAATGAGTGAAATTTGAACTTATACACACACACACACACACACACACACACACACACACACTAACAGATCAATTAAGACTGGCAGTATATGTAACATTCCAGACTCAGTTCCCTACCTCTGCTAGGAAGAAAAGTGCATTTTTTCAACTCTTCTTGTTGCCAAACTCGACAAAGATTTATTAAGTTGTTAAGTGTTTACTATATACATGTATTGTGCTGGGTGCTGGGAAAGATACAGAGAGAGAAAAGATGTGGCTCCTAATCCTCCATCTGACTCTAACCCACTAGTCATTCCATCTCTTCCTCTGCCTTAACCCCTCCCAAACCTTTGTCCAAATAAGACCTCCAATCCTTTTATCCCTCAGTACTTCCTCAAGTCATTACCTCTTTTCTGACTTCACTTTCCTCCCTTTCTGGTTGTGACCAATTCAGTTCTACCCTGTCTTATACCCTTCAAACCTGGCTTCCTTGTCCATTTGCCAAACCCCAGCCTTGGATTAGTGCTACCATCTGCCCCCTCTGATCCTATTTACAATGCTGCTGAGTGGAGCTGGAGGAGATCACAAAACTGAGCTGATAGGGTCCACCAGGACTTTATGTTATCTAACCTCAACTGGGCTCTCACTGCAGCAAGGCAATCTTTTTGCTCCCTCTCCTATCCCACTCCTCACATAGGCTTTCCTAAACCCTTTTTCTCCCTAGGTTTCTCTCTCCAATCTCAGCTGTGAGCTTCTCTCGTCTTCAATTCAAAATCTCTGAACATCGATTTCCTTCTTTACCGCAGTCTTTGATAACAAGATAGCCCTCTCCATAGATCAAGGCTAACCCTTCAAGGTGTGCCCTTTATCTCATATCCTTCTGGATGATTATCTTCCCAATCACACTCCCTTTTTCTCTTTAATCTTCCATCTTTTCCTAACTACCGGTTCCTTCCCTGCTGCCTACCAACATGCATAGGACTCCCCAATCCTTAAAAAAATCTTCACTAGATCCTACTACAGTAGACTCTACCCTTCTAGTAGACCATATCAGAGGATTTGATACCCCTCAGATCTTGTGGCTCCCTTCCCTTTCTTTGCCAAACTCCTAGACAAAGCTGTCTACAGTTATTCCCTCTACTTTTCTCACTCACTACTTGGCCCTTTGCAATCTAGCTTCCTATGTCATTACTTAACTGAAATTGCTCTCTCCAAAGTTACCAATAATATCTTAATTGCCAAATCCAACATTTTTGTTTTTTGTTTTTGTTTTTTCCAATTCTCATCCTTCTTGACATTTAGACAGAATTTGACACTGGAGACCACTCTTTCCCCCTGAATACTTCTTTTCTGAGTTTTTGTGACTATTCTCTCTTGGTTTTCCACTTCCATGTCCAAAGACTCCCTCTCAGTCTACTTCGCTGGCTCATTGTCCACTTCATATTCCCCCAGTTATGTGGGTATACCCCTAGACTCTGTCCTGGCCCTCTTTTGTCAGTCAGTCAACTAGCATTTACTATACTATATACTATACTTACCATGTGCCAAGCACAGAGAATATAAATACAGTAGGAGAAAAACGCAGCCTTCGGCTTCATGGAGCTTATGTTCTAATGGGAGGAGAACACAACACATAAAAGGAGTCTGAAAGCAGAGGGGAGGAGACAAGAGTACCCTGCCTCTGGGGCCTGGTAGAGGAAGTCTTGAGTGCAGCCTGGAGAGGCATGAGACATGCCTTTAGAGGGCCTAAGTGCCCTCCTTAAATGAAGGAAAAGCCATCCAATCAGAGGGAGAGGCTACAAGGGTAGAGGATACTTCCAATGTATAGATTCCATGACTAGAGTGAGGCTTGAATATGAAGAACTAGGGAGTCTGGAAGAGGAAGGACAGAGTACAGACTGGAGATGACCTTTTCATATCTCATGGGTTTAATGATCATTTCTATGCAGATATTTGTACATAAATATATGTATATATGCATACACATATGTATACATACATCATACATACATGCAGGCAGGCATGCATCCATCCCAGTTTCTCTCTTGAAATCCAGTATGGAATCAACCAACTGCCTGTCAGACATTTCGAACTAGATGCTCCATAAACATCTCAAACTCAGCCTGCTTCAGCAAGTCCCCCTAGCTCTTCTCTCTTCCAGACTTTCCTATTTCTTTGTAAGAGTATCGCTATATTCCCAGCCTCAGTGTTATCCTTATTTTCTCACTCTCACTCATCTCATATTTGCAATCAGTTGCCAAATCTTGCTATTCCTACCTCTACAACATCTCTCTCATTCTCTTCTCACCGTTCACAAGCCACCACCCTAGCTCAGGCCTTCGTTACCTCTCACCTGAACTTTTGCAGTGACGTCCTAGTTGATCTCCCTGCCTTAAGTTCCTCCCCACTCCAATCTGTCTTCTGCTTCACTGCTGACATGATTTTCCATAAGCACAGATATGATCATGCCACTCCCCTACTCAAATAAACTCTATTGGTCTTCTATTGATTCTAGGTTAAAATGTAAATTCTGTGGAAGCCCTTCACAACCTGACCTCAACCTCTCTTTTCAGCTTCGTTCTACAGTTTTTCTATTCCTATACTCTAGACAGCTAGGTGGCACAGCAAATAGAGAACCAGACCTGGAGTCAGGAAGACCTGAGTTCAAAAATGGCCTCAGACGTTTACTAGCTGTGTCACCTCAAGCAAGTCATTTAACCTCTGTCTGCGCCAGTTTCTTCATCTGTAAAATGGAGATAATAGTACCTCCCTGGCAGGGTTATTGTGGGGATAAAATGAGATAACATCTGTAAAGCACTTTGCAGACTTAAAGCACTGTATCAATGCTGGCTATTATGATAATCTAGCCAAAGAGCCCTTCTTCCTCTTCCTCACACGCTTCATTACATCCTTGGTCTTGGTGTCTTTGCACTGGCCTTCCTCCATGCCTAGAATCCATCATTCCCTCAGATCGGACTCATGGAAGCCATCTCTTCTTTCAAGACTCTGCTTAGGCATCATCTACTGAAGCCTTTTGGGTCACCTGCAACCCCCCCCCCATACAGCTACTAGTGACACCCTCATCACACTACTTTTTATGTATTTTGTATTTATTCTCTATGGGCTCATTTATACACATGTTGTCTCCCCATTAGAATGTAAGTTCTCTCAGGGAAGGGACTATTCCATTTTTAACTTTGCATCTCTAGTACCTAGAACAGACTGGCAGGTAGTTGTTTATTGTTTGTCAGTCATTTTTCAGTCATGTCTGATTCTCTGGGACACTCTTTAGGGTTTTCTTGGCAGAGATACTGGAGTGGTTTGCCATTTCCTTCTCCAGCTCATTTTACAGATGAGGAAACTGAGGTAAACCGGATTAAGTGAGTTCCCTGTGTCACACAGCTAGTAAGTGTCTGAAGACAGATTTGAACTCAAGAAAATGAATCTTCCTGACTTTAGCCCTAATACTGTATCCACCGTGCCTAGCTGCCCCTGGCATATAGTAGGTGCTTAATAAAATGCCTTTTAATTGGTTAATTCAATGATTCCTTTCTTCAAGGAGCTTATTGTCTTTTTTAAAATTAAAATCCACCTTCTCTCTTTCCTCCTCCCCCTCCTACTGAGAAAGCAAGAAAAATAAATTGTTAAGCAAATATAGTTAAGCAAAACAGATTCCTATATTGTCCATGTCCCCTCCCACTCAAATGTTCCATTCAACACTATGAGTCCATCGCCTATCAGGAAATGGGTAGCATGTTTCTTTTCTTTCTTTCTTTCTTTCTTTCTTTTTTTTTTGGGCGGGGGGGGCTAGGCAGTGGAGTTAAGTGACTTGCCCAGGGTCATACAGCTAGTGTTATGTGTCTGAGGCCGGATTTGAACTCAGGTCTTCCTGAACCCAGGGCCGGTGCTCTATCCACTGCACTACCTAACCATCCCCTGTAGCATGTTTCTTTATGAGTCCTCTAGAATTGTAGTTGGTCATTGCATTGCCATCATTGTAGTGACCAGTGTTCCTTTTTTTTTTTTTTGCTTTTGTTAGGCAGTGGGGTTAAGTGACTTGCCCAGGGTCACACAGCTAGTTAAGTGTTATGTGTCTGAGGCCAGCTTTGAACTCAGGTCCTCCTGACTCCAGGGCTAGTGCTCAGTATTCCTAAGTCTTTCATAGTTGTTTGTCTTTAAAATATTGTTGTCGTTGAATAAATTATTCTCCTGGTTCTGTTCCCTTTACTTTGTATCAATTCATACAAGTCTTCCCAGGTTTCTCTGAAATCATTCCCTTCATCATTTCTTACAGAACAATAGTATTTCATCCCATTCATGTACCATAACTTGTTCAGTCATCCTCCAAATGATGTCTGGGCACTCTCTCAATTTCCAATTCTTTGCCACTACAAAAAGATCTGCTATAAATAGCTTTATACATATGGGATCTTTTCCTCTACCTCTGATTTCTTTGAGGTATAGTCCTAGTAGTGGTATTACTGGGTCCAAGGATATGCACAGTTTAATAGCTTTTAGAACATATTTCCAAATTACTTTCTAGAAAGACTGAACCAGTTCATATCTCCACCAGCAGTACATTAATAACCTGTTTTCCCACAGCCCCTCCTGCATTAGTCATTTTCCATTTTTGTCAGCTTTGCCAATCTGATGCATGTAATGTGGAACTTCAGAGTTATCTTAATTTGCATTTCTCTAACTATTCCCACTTTTTTTCATTATTTCCCTTAAGATTCTTGACCTTTTGTTCCTCCAGGTGAATTTTGTTATTATTTTTTCTAGTCCTATCAAGTAAAACTTTGGTAGTTTGATTGGTATGTCATGAAATAAGTAAATTAATTGAGGAAGCATTGTCATTTTTATTATATTGGTTCAGTCTACCCATGAGTAATTAAAATTATCAAGATCTGTATTTATTTGTGTAAAAAGGTTTTTGTAGTTGTGTGCATATAATTCTTGTGTATGCCTTAGGAAGTAGACCCCTAAGTATTTAATACTTAGTAGTTATTTTAAGTGGAATTTCTCTTTCTATCTCTTCCTGTTGTTTTTTTGTTGATAAATATAAAAATTTTGATGATTTTGTGGGTATATTTTATATCCTGCAACTTTGCTGGAGTTGTTGTTTCAGGTTTTTTTAAATAACTATTCAGGGTTCTCTAAGTAAACTATCATATTATCTTCAAAAAGTGATTATTTTGTTTCTTCTTTGCTTATACTTATTTCCTCAATTTTTTTTGTTGTCCTATTACTATAGCTAGCAATTCTAGCACTATATTGAATAGTACAGCCTTGCTTTATCCCCAATCTTATTAGAAAGGCCTCTAGTTTATGTCCATTACAGATAATGCTGGATCTTGTTTTTAGATAGAAACTACTTATTATTATTAATTCTTGTGGTTCCTAGTGTTTTTAACAGAAATAGATTTGGGCTTCTTATCTAACAGGGGAATAAGATGCAAACACAGATAACTATAATAACTCACACACACACACAAATGAATTAGAGGCAAAGTGCTGATTACTAGTATGGAGGATCAAAGAAGCCTTCCTGGAGAAAGTCCTATTCATAGGCTTTAAAAGATATATAAGAATTCAGTGGGCAGGGGCAGCTAGGTGGTGCAGTGGATAGAGCTCCAGCGTTGGAGTCAGGAGGACCTGAGTTCAAATCTGACCTCAGACACATGACACTTACTAGCTGTGTGACGCTGGGCAAGTCACTTAACCCGATTGCCTCACCAAAAAAGACCCCCAAAATAAATAAATAAATAATTTAGTGGGCAAAGACAAGGGAAGGCATTCCAGGCAAAGGTAGCAGCCTAAGCAGAGGCAAGAGAATCCAGTGTGTGTTGGGACAGAAAGAGGGGACTGGTGCTCTCTGTTGAATTGAAGCTTGGGAATAGTCAGCAATGAGGAATAAAACAAGATAAGGCTGGAGAGATACCATAACACTGGGTTGTGTAAGGCCTACAAGGCCAGGCAGTGGACTTTGAATTGAACAAATATTGAACTAGAATTCAACTTTATAGGGCAAGGAAAGGCAAGAGCATTTATTAAGCTCTTACTATGAAGGTTTGACATGACCAGATACGTAGGGAAGGTTGTCGGGAGAAGAGGGAATTTGAGCAGGTTCTAGAAAAGTGGTTGGGATTTGATGAGGTAAAAGGGAAACAAGGCAGGCATCCCAGACGCTCGTCACGAATTTTCCTCTTTTTAGTGTGGCTGGAAGGAGGGGGAAGAGGGAAGGTGGTGGATGTGAGATATAAGCCAAAAGGGTCTCTAGTCCTTCCAGTCCCTGCCTCCCAAGTGATAGTTATATGGCTTCTTGCTGTCTTCCAGCCTTGCATGCAGGAACATCCAAGTCTTCCTCACTGCCAGCCTATGGCCGGACCACTCTCAGCCGGGTAAGGCCCCAAGGTGTGCCAGTTAGAAGGCAGGGGTATAAGTGAGGGATCCCACTCTACTCCTTTTGGGGCACAGGAAACTCCCTTATTCTAATGAGTCCAGACAAGAAACACTTCTAGATCCTCCTCTGACCCTGTTGTGTCTTTTCCAGCTACAGTCCACAGAGTTCAGTCCATCAGGGAGTGAAGCAGGAAGTCCAGGTGAGCAAAGGAGGACCAGGCCCTGGCCACTAGGGAAGGAGGCACTGGCGGGCCCCTTGAGATACCGATGCAGTCACTAATTTTCCTTTCAGAAGAAGGTTGTGGTGAAATGGGGATGGGGAGTAGAAGTTGGGGGACCCTGGGTCAAGTGAAAGGTCTGAAAGGCCTGCCCGGTCCTGGGGTTCTCTCTGAACAATGGCTGTTTTCTTCCACAGGCCTTCAGGTGAGTGGTCTCCAGAGGGGAACATGATCCCTGCCAGGAATTTGGAGTTCCCAGGATGTGTCAGCTGGGAGGTGGGAGGGAATGAGGGGCTGAAGAGCTGACTGATGAAGAGGAGAAAAGCCCAGGGTACGGCTGGGGAAGTCTCCCCTCCCCACTCTGGCTCATGGCGGCTTTGGTCCCCTGCAGAATGGAGAGGGCCAGAGGGGGAGGATGGACCGGGGAAACTCCCTGCCTTGTGTGCTGGAGCAGAAGGTGAGGGGAAGAGCCAGGGAGCTTCTGGGCCTGGAGGGTCGGGGGAATGTCAGTGGGGAAATAAGACAATCAGGAAATGGGGAGAGGGGCTGGGTAAGATCTGGGCTAGACCTGGAAGGACAACAGGGGAGATGGGTGGACATGAGGGAGAAATGGCATGAGACCCAAATATACCCTGAGAGTTGATAAAAGGTTCTGGGGACTTGGGGACTTTGAGACTAAGACAGTCCTAAGAACCCAAGAGTCTCTCTCCCTCATCCCCAACCCTCAGCAGATTTATCCCTATGAGATGCTGGTGGTGACCAACAAGGGGCGTTCCAAGCTGCCTCCGGGTGTGGACAGGATGAGGCTTGAGGTATGTAGGCCCAGATCTACTGGGGAGGAGGGTTGCACAGGGGACTTTCAGGGCCTGAGCTCTCCAGCCTCAAAGTGCAAGACAACCCAGCTGGTTGGCAAGGAGAGAAGGAAGGTCTCAGATAAAGCTGTCGTCCACTGCTCCTTAAGATACCTCTGTGTGGTCTCCCCTTACAGAGACATCTATCAGCAGAAGACTTCTCGAGGGTGTTTGCCATGTCTCCTGAGGAATTTGGCAAGCTGGCTCTGTGGAAACGCAATGAACTCAAGAAGAAGGCCTCCCTCTTCTGATTGCCCTCACCCTCTCTTTGACCCAGCCCCAAACACCTGCTTCAGGGCTTTGGACATAGGAGTTGTGAGATCCCAAAGTACCTTCTTTCACTGCTGAGTGGGAGCAACCACCTCTTAGGGAAGTGGAGGGATGGGGTGAAGAAGAGGTAGACACGGTACCCTAGGGCAGAGGGGAAGAAGATGGGAAAGGCTAAGACCTCTACAGGTCATGGGCCTAACAACCAGAGACTTTCTCTCACCTGGTGATGGTTCTAGGTTGACCCTACCTCCTTTCATCACTCCTACTTTCCCGCCACACAAGGCAGGCCCAGGCTACACCCTGGTACAAAAAGGGTTAAAGTTTGCCCTGGTTGAGGGCCCAGACTCCACTCCTACCCCCCACATCCAGGTATCAAAGGCTTAAGACTTACTCAAATCAGGTACTAAGAAATGGGCTAACAGAAGGGAGGGTGAGGGATACAAGAACAGAGAAGGTAAAAGGCAAACTCTGATAACTCCAGGATTCTTAATGTGGTGTCTACAAGCACTCTCCAGACTCTGATAGTTTTCCTTCTAATGGGACTCCCTTAGAGGCTGCTGGAGTCCTAACCCCAAGCTGGGGAGCTTTCTTCTAGCTCAGTCTGTTCCTTTCCCCACTACCCCAAGCTCTGGAGCCTCTTGTTACAGCCCTTTGGCTTCCCCTGATGCCCCAGGTTAGCCGAGGATATTCTGAACACAGCCTCTCACTCCATCAACAGCCTCAAGTCAGAGCCTAATAGAATTCTGGTTTCCAGCACCAATCCAGCCACTGGGGACAAGCTCTGGAGGACCTTCCACATGTCCCTGCTCCCAGGCCTCTTATAGCACCCACTCATCCCGCACTGAGCTCTTAAAAGAATGTAATTTATTGGGGCACCCCCTAGCTGCTCTCGCCACCTAATCCACCACCTCCCCATCCTCATGACCCCACCCTACACAACACTCCTGCCTTCTCATCTCTACAAATTATATATATGTATATATATTTTTTTCTGCTTGGGCCTGGGCTCTCTTCCTCTCCAGACTGGCATCCCTAACCACTCTGTGGGTGATAATGCTGGGGGTGGTGGAGGGAGAGAGGGAGAGGGAACTCTGATTGGAATTAAATGACTGGATCAGGCCCTCAGGTCTACTAATTCTTTATGGGACATCAATGTCCGGGGAAAGAAGAGCTAGGAGTATGTGCAGTATGATACGGGGAGTCCATTCCCATCCAGGCCAGGATGCAGGTAATCTCATTGCTGTAACCATCAGTGTCTATACAATCTCAATGCAGTAGAATGAGCACAAGACTGGGGACTCAAGTTCTATCTAGTTCTAGCTTTGCCCCTAATTCACTGCATAACCTTGAACAAATCAACTCCCTGGGCCTCAGTTTCCTTCACCATCAATGAGGGGATTAAACTAGATGAATAATAGCTCATGTTTAAAAAGCACTTTACAATGAACAAACACTTTCCTCACAACAACCCAGGGATATAAGTAATGCAAGGACTGCCCCAGTTTGTAGGTGAAGAAACAGAGAGAGGTGCCTCTTTTTGTATTCCCAGCACTTAGCACAGTGGCACATAGTAGGCACTTAATAAATGTTTATTGATTGACTGAAGTGACTTGCTCAAGGTTAATAATAATAATAATAATAATATAATAGCATTTATAAAGTGTTTTAAGGTTTGCAAAGCATTTTACAAATATCTCATTTGATCCTGACAACACTAGGAGGTAGGCACTGTTTGTTTTTTTTTAATTTTTAGGAAATTGGGGTTAAGTGACTTGCCCAGGGTCACACAGCTAGTAAGTATCAGGTGTTTGGTCTGAGGCCATATTTAAACTCAGGTCCTCCTGACTTCAGGGCTGGTGCTCTATCCACTGTGCCACCTAGCTGCCCCCAGAGGTAGGCACTGTTGTGCAGTTTCACACTTTATAGTTGAGGAAACTGGGATAGACAGAGGTTATATGACTTGTCCAAGGTCACATAGCTACTTGGTGACTGAGGCAGGATCTCAACTCAGGGCTTTCTGATTCTAGGTCCAGCTCTCTCTATGCAATGTGCTACCTAGCTTGCCTAAGGTCATATAGCTAGTAACCGTTGGAATTAGATGCAAACCCAGCCAGATCTTCTACCTCCAAACTCTTTCAACTCCATTATGTTGTACCAGCTGTGTAACCTTGGGCTGTGACTTAAGGTTTATGAGCCTCAGTTCCTTAAATGGGGGCAATAACATCTACAGTACCTATGTCAAGGGTTTGTCTCAAGGCTCAAGTGAGGTAATGTATATAAATTGTTTTGCAAACTTTAAACCTCTGTTAGCTTAGGGCTATTATTATTTTCCAAAGGAATGTCAAGGTAGGCAGTAGAACTCTTGGGGTCATAGACCTAGAGCCAGAACAAATCTTGGAAGCCATTGGGTCCAATCCAGATGACTTACCCAAGTTAGGTAGTGAATCACAGAGCTAGGAGGAAATTCAGGTCTTCCGAATGTAGTCAAGACATTATGAAGGACAGGCCAAGAAGCTGCTAGAATTAATGGAAAACTCCACCAATAATAAATCCATCAATTCAAATTTTCACTTGACCTTCCCTGTTGAGTCAATTGTAGGTATGAGGAGTAGAGGCTCATTAGAGGTAAGTAATAATAACTAGCATTTATAAAGCTGGTTGCTATCCTTTGTTCTCAAAGAGAACCAAAATGACATTACTATGTTGGGTTCAAGGTACAAGGTGTCCGACTGGCTGATCAGACCAATGGGAGCTCAGAAGGCTTAACCACAGGTTGGGTGTCCATGTGAACAGTCGGGGTGGAGATCTCTCTAAATTTGCACATCTCACATTTCTTTTGAGCTACTGCAATTCTACTTTGCTCATAGAGCACAGCGCCCTCTTTGATACAGGCACAGCATGTTGGATGGTCCTGTGCTAGGGTCTCCCGTGTCTCACAATCAATTCCAAAGTTCTTCAGAGAGACATTGAGTGTGTCCTTGTATTGTTTCTGACCTCCATGTGAGCTTGCCTTGAATGAGTTCTCCACAAAATCACTTAGTGTGTGTCAGGCACTGTGCTAAGCACTTTACAAATATTATCTCATTTGATCTTCACAACAACCCTTGGAAATAGGTGCTATTTTTATCCCCATTTTACAGCTGAGGAAACTGAGGCAAATAGAGATTAAGTGACTTGTCCAAGATCACACAGCTAGTAAGTATCTGAGTCTGGGTTTGAACTCAGGTCTTCCTGACTCCAGGCCAAGTCCCTTATCTACCATGCCACCTAGCAGCCCCAGCAGCTAACTAAAGGTTTGTGTAACAAGAACAGAGGATTTGGCTCATTGGAGCCTAATTGTGGATTATATTTCTGTAGCCTTTTCTAGTTTTCACCCCATCAGTCATTTTTCAGTTGTGTCCAACTCTTCCATGACCCTATTAGGGGTTTTCTTAGCAAAGATACAGGAGTGGTTTGCCATTTCCTTCTCCAGCTCATTTTACAGATAAGGAAACTGAGGTAAACAGTGTTAAGTGACTTACCCAAAGTCACACAACTAGTGAGTGTCTGAGGCTAGATTTGAACTCACCCTGGCACTGTGCCATCTAGCTTGTTTACCACCTTGTTTACCATAGGTGTTTGCCATTTTGTTTACAAAGTGCTTTTCTATACATGTCTCCTTCAGAGGCCCAGGGGTTTAGTGGAATGTTGGTTTTGGAGTCAGAGGACTTGGCTTTATATCCTGTTTCTGCCCACTTGCTAGTTATGTGACCTTGGGCAAGTCACTTTTCTGTTCTTCTGTTTCCTCATCTGTAAAATGGGTGTGTTAGACTCAAGGGCATGCCGGAGCCAGCTCTAACCAGCTTGTGAGAGCTGATTGTGAAATTTTCACAATTTCATAATCGCAAATTTTCACAATGCTCAATGTGAGCACTTACCTCAGAAATCGGCAGTCACTACAAATCAGGGCTTGATTTATTGTTTTATTCAATATCTTAGACTGAAGAAAGTATTAATTACATAGATTAAAATTAAAAATGAGTGTGCATAGTTTTCCCATCTGAGAGCCAAATTGTTAAACATTCACCAGCACCCGACCCCCCATTAGACTTCATGGTTTCTTAAGTTGTCCACAGCTTTGAAATCTCGATAACCCTATAGGGGAAGGCAAGAATTACCACCCTCATTTAAAGAAACTGAGGCATGTAATGGTTAGGTGACTCAGTTAAAGTTAATTAGTGGTGGAACAAAAACAAGATTTTTGTTCGTTTTTACTTCCAACTCTGGCCTTCTTCCACTCCCCCTATATTAAGTTATCCCTCAAGAGAGAATTGGGAAGTTAGGAAAGAGAAATGTATAGTTGACTTTAGAATTTCTCCTGGAAAGGGAAATCAGGCTAAAAGAATGGTCTGGGACCTCCAGGTATTATGGTTACCTATAGCTGATCTAAATTGTTGGGACCATCCAAAGACAGAGCTTCAGTCTGAACTCTCTAATTCTAAACACCCTAAGGAGACTGCGTGAGGCTGTCAGGCTCATTTAGCTATTGATTCCTGAAGCCCTGGTTCCAGAGACACCCTTAGGATAGTTGGACCACATTCACATCAATAGCCCTATATCCCACTAATCGCACCTTCAACCCCCAAGTCTGTATAGTTCAATTCCTTAGGAAGGGATTCTATCACTTGGATGCAGCATGGAGTAGTAAAAAAGAACAAAGACCCAGGAGACCTGGGTTCTAGGTTTGGCTCTGCCACTGATTGGCTAAGTCACTTAATTTCCCTGGGCCTCAGTTTTCTGTTCTGGAAAATAAGGAGGCTGCCACTAAAGGATCTCTAAGGTCCCTTTCAGCGCTAACAAAAAAATCTGTTCTTGTGTCTTTTTCATTCTGTTGGCCCAAAAGGCTTGAAGTGTTATTAAGTGGCTAAAAGACAAAAGCCCTAGAGCTAGGAGAAGCCATCAGAGGGGCCCAGGCCTCTAGCAGTTAGGACATGTTCTGTTTCACACTCTTCTCCATCTCCATCAGTGTGAAAGAATTCTTTATTGTAGGTGATTGATGGAAAACTTGTAACACAAATCCAAAGGTGACTCCACTGGCCCTTGCTGAAAGCTAGGGTCAGGTCCTCCTTGTTGTAACTTTGCCAGTCGCACCAGCTACCACACAGAATAGGTTGAGCCTGGAAGACCCTATTTAGACAGGTAGATGTGTGACCCTGGGGTAGACTCAGAACTTTTCTCAGCCTCCACTTAATAGAATTACATTATACTAGCTATTATTATAATGGAAAAACACCAAGAAAAAGGGATTAAAGAAAATTGTTTCCTAGGACAGCTAGGTGGTACAGTAGATAGAGCTCTGGCCTTGGAGTCAGGAGGACCCGAGTTCAAATCCGGCCTCAGACACTTGACACTTACTAGCTGTGTGACCCTGGGCATGTCACTTAACCCTGATTGCCTCACTAAAAAGCAAAAAAA